GCTTACTGTTACAAAATAGAAAATTCTTATTTGATACTTTGATATTGAAAAGTTTTTATTATTGCCAAAAAAACACTACTAATGACAATTAAATTGATACGGGAAAGTCCGAAATCGGCAAATCACGATTAATGACAATTAAATTGCTACTAAAAATTTCTAAATTACGGATAATAATTAAATTAAAAAACACTACTATCAACCCCCAAATCTTATTCGATAAAAAATTACTAACACACAGATGAGAGAGAAAATATATTTTAATGTATTAATTATTTCTAATTTTGTGAACTACCGAACAAACCCTTCATCACTTATCACCGTCGGATTCACCTTAAAAATGGACGGTGATTAGAGCAGTTATTATGGTGCTAACTCCTATGAAGTTAGCACCCTAACCTCTCCCTTAGCGCCCAAGGTTCAATAATAATAAAAACGACTCCAAGTTTCCATATTATGACAACTTTAGCCTAGTTATCGAGTTAACAATAAACACTAACGATCAACTTATTTAACAGTTAGTGACTTGACAAAAAATGAATGATGTGATTGTCGATGGTCTTTTTACGAAAATATTATATTTTCTATAACAACTTATCAATTTAATGCACTATGAAAATTATTTCCCAATTTATGGTTTATTAATATGAATTGGGGCACATGCGCTTGGATTTAAATTTGTTGAGGTGAAAAAAGCGAATTGGTGCGCGGATAAGCCCTATCATCGCAGGGGAAGGCAAATAGACTATCGATTAGGGTTTTCGGTTTTTGGAAGGGAGGCGACCGGATGATTGGGAGGGACAGGTTACGGTGATTACTATAAAATAGTAATCACCGTGGTTACTAAGGGCAAATTGGGTATAACAAAAAATTTATTAATGATCTTTTTTAATAAATTACATAAATATATTAAGGGATCGTTTGGAAGTTGCGAATGTTAAATCGTTGCATTGTAATGAATCACTATAACATAAATGCATGTATTGATACAATGGATGCATTTTAACAATAGATCGTTTGGTTGTTGAGATTCTACTTTATGTATTGATTTACATAAAGTTATTTTTATGGGGAAATGTCACATTTACCCTCAACTTTTAGAATAAGACAAAAACTATTAGGGATATAAATGGAAAGAAAAAGTTGACATAAATCTAAAACCAACAATCACAACAATCTCAACTTTTAGTTGAGATTGTATAATGCATCATTTTTTGTGATTGTTAGTGGGACCTACCTAAAACTATGCATGCATTGTTTTACACTTTGACACTTCCAAACATTGTATTGTGCATAATACATGTATTCAACAATCACAACTCTAACAATCACAACTTCCAAACGACCCCTAAATACAATTTTTCTCTCTCTCTTTCTCTCACTTCCACAATATTTCAGCCAGATCTCTCTTCCTTCTTTTTCTCAATCTTTCCTTGATTTCGTTCATCCAAACTAATACCGCTGCAACAACAAAACAATAAATCAATACCAATCCATTAAAAAAAATACTACCATTGTACAAAACATCCAGTATGGGATGAAGTTGTGGACGTTCACAGCGGTCTATGGAAACCCTGCCTTGATCCAACGTAGAGAGTTGTGGGCATCCTTGAGGGGCATTGCTGAGGATATTTCTGGGCCGTGGCTTGTGGCGGGAGACTTCAATTCGATCCTACAGCCCTCGGAAAAAGCTGGAGGCGCACCTTTTGACGCCAGCAGAGTCCGGGATTTTCAGGACTGCATTACTGATACAGGTTTAATGGATTTGGGGTTCTCGGGCCCGCCATACACATGGTTCCGCGCAGGGGTGAAGGAAAGGCTGGATCGAGGATTGGTAAACAGTGACTGGCACAGTATGTTTCCAGATAGTTCTCTGCAGCATCTTCCAAAGTTGAAATCGGATCACCGCCCACTCTTGATTCGTACTACTCCTAACTTCTCTCCAGCTGGTGCAAAGCCATTTAAATTTATGGCAGCATGGCTTTTGCATGAGGAGTTCAGTGAAATGTCAGGGCAAGCCTGGCGGCAAGGATCAGACCTATGTAGCGCCGTGCAGTGTTTCGCAAATGCCGCCAGCCGTTGGAATCGTTATACCTTTGGGAATATTAATAGGAAGAAGGACTCACTACTTGATAAGGTTGAGAGACTGGAGCTTGCAGGGGGTGGGGACTCTGAATCCCCCGAAATGCAACAATGCAGGCAGGCACTTGAAGAGGTACTTTTACAGGAGGAGATTATGTGGTATCAGAAATCACGTTCGGAGTGGCTGGGTAAGGGTGATCTAAATACTAAGTACTTCCACACTCGAGCCATACAACAACGTCGAAGGAACCGAATTAGTGCGCTACGTGATGCTTTGGGCAATTGGGTAGAGGATGACCAACTCTTGCAGGACATGGCAATAAGCTTCTATAAAAATTTATACACAGATGAAGGTGATCCGCTGCTGATCCTTGCTGGAGCATTTCCGAGCTTGCCTGCTGATGCCTGGGCGCATGCTACTGACTGTTTCACGATGGACGAGATCCACCAGGCGGTACGATGCATGGGACCGCTGAAGGCGCCGGGACCTGATGGACTCCACCCTATATTTTTTCAAAAGTTCTGGCCTCTAGTTGGTCCTGCCGTCACGCAATTTGCTCAGCTTTGTTGGAACGATCCAGGCCAGGTGAAGAGGGTGAATGAGATGATACTTGTTCTCATTCCGAAGGTCAAGCACCCTTCGCTGATTGAACAGTACCGACCAATCAGTCTATGCAATGTCTCTTATAAGATCTTGACTAAATGCTTGGCCGAGCGGTTGAAACCTCTGATGCCGAGATTGGTGAATGAAACTCAAACAAGTTTTGTCCCCGGGCGCCACATTACTGACAACATTTGTATTCTGCAGGAAGTTGTTCACTCAATGAGAGCGAAAGCTGGTAGGATAGGGTGGATGGTCCTCAAAGTGGACCTCGCTAAAGCATACGACAGGATAAAATGGTCTTTCGTTCAGGATACCCTCAATGCAGCAGGAGCCCCCGCAGATTTTGTAGCCTTGGCAATGCAGTGTATCTCGTCGAGCAGCATGAGAATCCAGTGGAATGGTGGCCTAACTGACTCTTTCACATCCTCCCGAGGGCTGAGACAGGGGTGCCCACTCTCCCCGTACTTATTCACGCTCTGCATGGAGAGACTGAGTCACCTGATAACGGCAGCTGTCGATGAGGGAACGTGGCGACCTATTGTAATCTCCAGGGGTGGGCCATCACTATCCCACTCGTTTTTCGCAGATGACTTGATTTTGTTTGGTGAAGCCACTATGCAGCAGGTAGAGACGATCAACCATTGCCTGGAGCTCGTTGGGGCAGCTTCGGGACAACAAGTTAGCAAGCCGAAGTCCAGAGTTTTCTTCTCCAAAAATGTTCGGGCTGAACGAGGGGCAGAGATATCTTTGGCACTGGGAATCCCGGAGACGAAGAACCTTGGGAGATACTTGGGAGTTCCGGTAATACATGACCGGGTTTCACGAGCTACTTTCATAGACCTCGTGGACAGGGTGGATAGTCGGCTCTCAGGTTGGAAAGTTAAATCATTATCTCTTGCTGGTCGCATCACGTTAGCCTAGTCGGTGCTATCTTCCTTGCCAGCCTACACTATGCAAACATCGTTCTTGCCAGCTAGTGTTAGAGAGTACATTGATAGGAAGATTCGAGCTTTCATTTGGGGAAGCTCAGAGGAAGGGCGTAAGGCTCACTTGGTGGACTGGAATACGATCTGTCGGCCGAAGGAGAAGGGGGATTAGGGCTTCGCAATGCTACGAGGATGAATGAAGCCTTCATGATAAAAATTGCTTGGAGATTGACTGCAGAGCCGGATAGTTTATGGGACAAGGTCATTCGGGCAAAGTATTTGGTGAAAACTACGGATGGCTGGCCGCGAGTTAGTGGTAGGCTCTCCAACCTTTGGTGGGGTGTGCTGCGCATTCTCCACCTCCTGCCGCAAGCGCTTATGTGGAATATTCAAAGTGGAGCTCAGACGCGATTCTGGACGGACAGGTGGCTGCAAGATGGGCCAACCTTAGCGGAACTGGCATATCAACTACCGCAAGAAGCCCTTGACCTCACGGTTGCTGAGTTGGTCCTTAACGGGGAATGGAATCTCCCTTACTTGCGAGCCTTCCTAGCGGAGGATGTTGTCCATCAAATCCAACTGCACCAGCCACCGCAAAGCCAAGAGGAAGATATACCAATATGGCGGCTGACAGCGGATGGTACCTTCTCCCTCAAGACAGCGTACGAGCTCACCGACGATCAGGAGCAGCAGACTGGTACGCATCCGGTGTGGCGAGCAGTGTGGCGCACGCCGGCAACTCAGCGGGTCCGAGCATTTTTCTGGCTTGCGGTGCATAATCGCTTGCTCACCAACCAGGAACGACGAAGGCGCCATCTATCGGATTCCGCAGCCTGCCCAATTTGCGATGGGGATGAAGAAACCACCATCCATGTTGTTCGAGACTGCTCCTTTGCTCGGGCAGTGTGGGCGGAAGTTCTAGGTGAAGAACCTGATGAAGTCTTCTTCCAGGAGGACCAGACTAAATGGATGTTACATTATCTTACAGGGAAAAGCGAACATGTTGACGCCACCAAGTTCGCCGTTCTCTGCTGGATGCTTTGGAAGAATCGAAACACCTGTGTCTTTGAAAAGAAGTTGGAGCAGCCAAGCAGTATCTGTCGGAGAGCTGACGTCTTGCAGAAGCAGATAGTGGAAGCTGTAGCAAAAATGGGAGCGATTTTTGGTGGGCAGAACACCTATACGCGGGAGATGATCAGTTGGAAACCCCCTCGCCAAGGGTGGGCTTGCTTGAATACTGATGGATTGGTAGTGTCGAATCATGCAGCAGCGGGAGGAATTATTAGAGATGCAGATGGCCGAATGTTGCGCGCTTTCACTAGGAATCTGGGGGAGGGAACCATCACTCGAGCTGAGATGGCGGGATTGGTACGTGGCCTTCAGGATGCATGGGAGTTGGGGATCAGGAAATTGATCGTGCAGACGGATTCGCAGACGGCTATTCGGCTTATCACGACGGCAGGGCTTCGACATCCACATTCAGCTATGATTCAGGAAGCACGGAGGCTGCTCACTCAGGGGTGGGAGGTGGAACTTATTCATGTATTCAGAGAGGGTAATGTTGTGGCTGATTACTTGGCGTCCCTAGGCCATGGCCTCCCGCCGGGTGATCACATAATCAATACCCCCTATCGTATGCTCTCATATTGGTTGTACTATGACTTGTTAGGGGTTAGTTTACCCCGTTTGATTCCTGATAATACTTAAAGGTTGGAGCGCCCTTTAGCGCTCCGCTTCCCACCAATAAAAAAAAACATCAATATCATTCAAGAAATAAAAACACTACCATTTCACAAAACATCAATACCATTGCAGATTTAATCACTACCAATGCGACAAAATCAATACCAATGTAACAAAAGCAATACCAATGCGGCAAAATCAATACCAATGTGACAAAAATAATACCAATGCGACAAAAACACTACCATTACAGAAAAAAAACACTTCCAATGCGAAAAAACACTACCATCACGGGGAAAACACTACCATTACGGGGGAAAAACAATAACAATACGAAAAACACTACCATTACGGGGAAAAACACTACCAATGCGAAAACGTACATACCACTAAAAAACCAGTCGTCTTCTTCTTTTAGTCGAACTCCCAAGTTTTTTTTCTTATCCCAACCGTTATTTTTGCCTTGCTGAAGAAGAACAGAAGGGTGGAGAGAGAGAGAGAGAGAGAGAGAGAGAGAGAGAGAGAGAGAGAGAGAGAGAGAAGGAAGGAAGGGTATTGGGTTTTAGGGTCTACTGTGGAGGAAGACCGGATGGGGATGAGAGGGAGGGGGAGGGGATGGCCGGTGAAGGGAGGTGGGCGGAGGGGAGAGGAATGGAGGGAGGGCAGTCGACAGCCGTTGTTGATGAAGGAGGTCGGGGAGGGTGAGAGCTTGCGGCTACGGCGGATTTGGCTGTAGAAGTAGGGTTAGGGTAGAATATATAGAATAATCAAGTGTGGTCCTTTTTTTTCTTCCAAAATTATCCCGAGGCAATCTTAACCGTAAGATTAAAAAAAGAGGAAAGAGAAGAAAATAAATGGTGGATACTGATGTAGCCACGGTGGCTACTAGAAATTCAGTTTCCACCCTAACGCATTCCATGATGGGGAAGGATGAATGCCGACGGGTTCTAAAAAGATGTTGCGGGATTTCTGACATATGGTTGGTCTAGTTTATTATCAATTTTAGGTTGGTTTTAGTCTAGGTTGGTCATAGATATTAAATTCAATTTGTTTATTAATTATTTTGATGAGGTGGGATCAGTGAATATTTCTTACAAGTTTAAACTTTTATACCCTATAGTACAAATTAAAAATTGTGACCATTTTATACTAAGCGTGACTGTTTATTTCACTTTTCAGTTTAGTTTTATTTATTTTTTTCTCTCCTTTTTCTTGCTCATTTTCCATCTGTCCCCGTCAAACTAGAAAGTGACCATTCCTGAGTTCAGCCTCCTCCCGCTGTTCTCTGAATGAGCCTTCACCGCCGCAGCTCCACTCCACCGGCGGATCTCTTTTCATCACCGCCGTCTACCCTAGCGGGCGGCTCCGCCCCAGTTTCTATTTCACCAACCGGTGAGTGCCCATTTGACTGTTGTCTCCTTCGGTGTCTATTTCGCTTTGCTTCACTACCTGTCTCTCCGTCGCCGTCTCCCTACCCCTCCTCATCTGGGGTTCTTTTGAATTTTGGGGCAATGTTGAGCAACTGCTAGAAAAGGGTGACTCTGCAAATCTTGCTCATGGTCTTCGCTAGAAAGTAATTGTTTTGCTTTTGCATGTGTGAAAGCCTTAAACTACTTCTAGAAGTTCTACTGGTGCAGTGAAAAGTTGGACTTAATGTTTTCGTTCTCATTCTTTATTCCCTGCTCTGAATTTCCTTTTGCTTCTCTAGTTTTCTTAGTTTTGCAAATGAAGCTAGTGTCTTTTGGCTGCATTTGTAGTCTGTTTGGAGAAGAGTAAAGAAAAAATAGAAAAGGAGACTAGAGGAGAGACCTTTTTCAATACATGGGGGGAATGAAATTACTGGTGATGAAATGGGAAGCTAGCTGATCCTTATATTCTCCTTGTTCTTAGTCTGTGACTGTTCTGAATTAACGGTAGGAAAGGGCAAAATTTAATGTGATTAGCCTTCCCTATCTATCCTTCCCCTTTAATTAATCTTTAGTGGAGAGAAAAAGTCAAGGTTGGAATGTTGGCTATATTATCCGTTGGAGTGATGCTGGAGGTTTAAGAGGGCAATGGTATTTGTGTTTCTGTATACTCTTAAGACTTTTGATTGACCATGGCCAAGTCAACACATGTAGTCTCCACTCGTTAGTTGGTCTTATTACAGGAATCTAACATTAGATTTCATTGTGTGTTATTAATGGTGAGAATTTTGATGCTGATTTGTGAATCCACTTGGTTTGGGAACCTAGGTTATTCAAATTAGGACGTGGGCGACATGAAGGGTGGTAAACACCAGGAAACAAGCAGAGGACAAGAGAAAGAAGATCATGGAACTGTGGAAGGAGACGTTGCCAAGCTCTCGGAAGGAAAGCCCGGGGATGTGATTTGGACCAAGCTTTCTGGTCGTACATGGTGGCCTGGACTGGTATGCAAGAACATCAAACACATTTTGGCCTGGTTTTTTCCCTATTGAGGCAAATTTGTGCTGTGAGTGCATATTCTCGCTTTGGAGGGCATTATTGAATAGGGCATTAGTCGGATGCTCCTAAGGGAAGGAGATGAGTAAGCACTAGCAATTTAATGTTTTTTGGATGCCAGAAAGTACTTGGACATTACTAGCGCACGCACTTGGTTTCAGTTTCCTCCTGGAACTTAGTTTCATGATATGTTTGTCCAATAGGTTCTTGATGAAGATGCGGTGGGTAGACGGAACAAACGTGGAAAGCGATCAGAAAGAGATGTTCTTGTTAGACTGTATGGAAGTTCTAAACAGTATGTAGCTTCCGTGTTCATCACTTCTCTGCTGTCTGTATCCAGTATCATTTCTGTCCAAATTATCAACAGCAGCACTCCGTGTTTACAATTTTAGATTCCAGCATAATGTTTACTTCTTTTTGCTTCTGTCAGGGTTTATGTTGATCCTATGAAATATCGCTCTGAGTTTGGTAATGTAAGTTTGTCTTCTTGGTTCATTTAACATTTTCTTTAATGGTTTGTATGTATCTTCTTCCTCACTTAATCCCTTTCAGATACTTGAACGGAATAAAGGCTGCTATCGTGATATATTCTGGGAATCTCTGAAGAAGGTAGTTTAGTTTAACTATTTCTTTTTTCCATTATTGTACACGGTGCGATTAATATTTTATCACCTATCTAACTCTTGAATATGGTCTTAGGAGCTTCCCGATCTGGAATCTAATGGTGATGAAGGTCAGCCATTTCTGTACACATTCCTTTTTAACTGCATTCTCCACATACAGTTTACTTTGTCCATCAAAGCATAAACATGACGACTGGCTTACTAAATGCAACGACATGACCTAACCGTTCAAGAGAGTTGGTGAGGCCAGAAGACCTGTAGAAAAGGAGTTGGATTTTCATAGTTCATGAATGTTTAAAGAGTATCTAGTTAGTATACAACATGCTTTTCATTTGTTTTGTCTACCGTATCACTGTATTGATAAACAACTTTACACACAGGAGCAGGAAACGGGCAAGTTGATGGCCCTAAACTTAAGGAGACAACTACCTCAAACAATGAAGTAAGTAGGTTGTGATTTCGTGGGTTCTTCCTTCGTTCAACTGTTTTTGCATTCTTCTGGTGAATAAATAAACAATAGTAGCACATCGTCTGTTGTTGCTGTTGCTGTTGCTGTTGCATGACTGTATGAGCATTATTGCCATGCACAGGTGGCGGTTTCTCCGGGGAATTCCAAGAAAGATGGGAGGCAAAAGAAACTGAAGCCAGACGATGCTGGAAACAAAACGCCTATGCACCATCAGGTGTGGCCTAGTAGATAGAGCTTCATTTTCCATGAGCATCTGCATAGGATTTACATGCATGTTTTTCTTGCACGAAATTTCCGAAGTTGGTAATCGCGGATATAAATTGATCTCAGGGTGGAAACCTTGGCGGAGAATCTGAAGAACAGACAGCACGGCGAGTAAAAGTCATGCAAACGCTTGGTCTGGTTCGGCCTTTTGGGTCTCCATTCTGAAGCTTTCTGGTTGGATTTTGGTGGCGATAACCTTTCGAGACCCAATTAATCTTTTGCTAGTAGTAAAGTGTGCTGTCAAAGTCTTCATTCGTTAACTTACCTGGGGATAAAATGTCTGTTTAGCTAATCATAGGTGCGCCCTGGCAATGGCGTCCATAGCTTATGACAGAATTCAGTCAAACTCAAACGATGTTTGTCATGAACACTTTTTAACAGCACTTGTTCTGTGCCTACATTTTGAGACTCACGCAACTGATATTGTGAAGAGTTCCTTTCTTTCTCATACATTTGGGGAAAGAAACTGTAACTGAAGATCGCAGAGACCTTTCTTTCGTGTGCCAAATGGCCTCACTTTTAGTGAACTTGACTATTATATACATGCTACCAAGGATTCAAAACCTGCATTCAAATTGAAAACATGATATAGTTCATGTCATAACTCTCATTTATTAAATCTAGCTTACAAGCTGTCCTTTGGCAGATAATATTTTCATTTTTTGTATAACAAATCTATGAATATATGTGAGAACGTAAAATTATTGATGTGTTTGACTCTAACTCTATATTCCTCATTATAAAAGTAATAAAAAAAATTCAATAATTTATGCAGTTGAAGTGAGAGATATACTTTCTTTTTATACTTGCCAAACCCACCACTAGGAGTGAGAGATATACTTCTTTTTATACTTGCCAAACCCACCACTAGGACTAAATATCATCTTCTTTGCCGAGAAACCACTTTGCCTTGTTTTTATTTATTTATTTATTTCATGGGTAGATAGTTAATAGATAGTGAATTACAAAGATGTGAAAAGTAAATAGCGGTAATCGGCCAAACGCTGATCCACCGATGCAAGAGTCGTTTTCGCCACGCAATAGGCAACCTTGTTAGTTTTATGAGGTGAGAAAACAAAATGAATAAACGCGAACGAGGCTTTCATCAACCGTACTTCTTCAAGGATCGCACCCCCGCGATTATGCTGGACTTCATCCTCCGTCACTCGCCGGATCACCATTTTTGAATCACCACAGAAACAAACAGAGGAAATACCCCGAGTTAAGCACCAATCCAACGCATCTCTCAACGCTAAAAGCTCCATTATAAATGGGTCGGATAACCCGTCATAATACTTACCGTACGCGCATAGGACCGAAGCTGATGTCGAGAACCCAACAAAGCCTATACTTCCCCCCCACCTCTCATCGCGTGGCACCATCGCGTGGCAATCCATTCATCCCTTTGTTGTAGGTATTGCCGAAGAAGAGGGTCGGGCAAGTATTGAATGTGGTCATAACAAGACCAGCAACTGGCTTTCCAAATTCGCCATATGATGAACACCAACTCCGCCATCTCCAATTTGTTTATTTGCAGTGCAAGGAACACATGAGACCTGTAACATCCCGTTTCGGCTAAAATTGTATTACTGTCGCTAAAAAATTTCATAGTTTAAAATCGAACGTTTTAATAGTATTTCGGCGAAAATCGGATTATCGATCGATCGGATAAGTATACGTATTAATTATATATATATATTTATTTATTTAATATAAAAGAAGACAAAAGCAGCCGGGCCATATATATATAATTCCCCGGTCACTTTCCTTCCACAATTCCCCATCATCTTTTCTTCTCATTTCATGGACCGAGAGAAACCAGAGCAAACAGAGCCGCGCACAGGGAACTTCTGGGAAACTTTCCCAAGCTCAATTCTTGAGTTCTAGTGATCCAAAAATTCCGTAAGTAATGCCTAATTCATCTATACATCATAGTTTATCGATTTAGAGTTTTAAAACGAGTTTTTGGATCAGGAATTTCTTGAGTTTCCGATCGAATGAATTAGGGTTTCGGAGTATCCGGAAGCCGGATTGAGCCCAGATTTCATATACGAGCTTCCTGCAACGAGGTAATCAATCCTCTAGTTCTAATCCATGAATTTCGGCTATTATTTAGGTCGGGGTCCAAATCGCTGAATTTAGCTCCGGCCAGGGTTTGATGTGTTTTAATCGAGAATTTGACCCGGAGCCTAGAACTAATATTGACGGGGATACTGCAGGGGATATTAGGACGGTCTCGGATTTTAATTCGGGGTTCGTTCCTGAAATTGACGTTTTAGTACTGGAAGGTTAAACCGGTGTTTGAACGACCAGAACTGGTGAGGGATTAGCACGGCATACCGGGTTTGTCGTATCACGATAATTATATTGATGCTTAGAATTGACCTAGGTGAATTAGAATGGCATGATTAGGGGTGTATGGACTTTTATGCTATATGATGAACCATGGATGGTTGTATGATATTATTGACTTGCCCTATCCGATATGGACCTTGTTTATGTTGATGATTGCATGCATGTTGCCATTTGTGGCTTAACCGTTGATATGACTTCATGGTTGTTCGATCAGGTGTTTTGACATGATGTGATATTGTGGTTATATTTGGATGCACAAGTGGGAAAATATATATCTCATGGTGATATTATGATGTTTAAGGAGGATGACTCGCACGAGGGTTTATCCCGAGGAAGTGCAATTATACGACTCCTGGTTATGTTGAGCCAAGTGTGGCCAGGTCAAGAACATGTCCAAGTAACGAATTATGATTAAGCAAGATGAGATATGAATCATGTATAAGGATACCAAATATGAGTGTTGTGGTCTCACGGTCAACTACATAGTAATTAGGGCTCCCTATGCTATTACTCTATTATGATATGTATGATAGTCACACCTCTCATGTGGTGGTGACTGAAGAATTCTTACGAGATATGACCACACTCAGAGCGGTGTCGGGGTATGACTACACCCATAGTGGTGTGGGGTATGTATGACCACATCCGACGGGATGTTGGGGTATGTATGACTACATCCGACGGGATGTGGGGTATGTTTCCCGGGAGAGTTATTAGCATGGGAGTAGCCAGGCGCCTATGATTAAAACATGATAAGATGCATATGCATAAGTCAAGGTGGTTGAGTCTTTTGTCTATTGGGATGTCGGATGCCTGAGGTCTGATCCTAGTGCTTTAGCTTGTTTGCTAGATGTATGGTAGGGGTATGCTCTGTTATGAACTCACGATGCTATGATTATCTCACTCAGCTATGAGCTGACCCTCTTTTATTCTTCTTCTCTGCTTATGCTATGTGTAAGCAGATCATCAGTAGCAGCAGTAGATAAGTGTTAGGTGGGAGAGGAGCTAGAGTTGAAGCCAGGATGAGGTATGGTCTTCAACTATTCTGTGCTTGGACTACTACTCGGGATTTTGGCCAGTGATCCACACCTTTTTGTAAAAATGTTTTGAGAACGTTTTTCATGTGCATACTAGCTTCTGATGTAGTGTGAGATATCCACAGGCGTGGAAAGTTGATTATATGTGTATATGTGTGTGGTGGTGTATGTAGTGATGATGATGACATGTATAAGTATGGTATGTAGTTGCAGACTACGAAAGTGTGACTATAGCTATGAAAGCCAATGCATATGGTTGTGAGTATATATGTTTGTGATGAATTATTTTGCAGGATAAGTTGCAAGAACTGTTAGCCCATTACGCGAGTAATTAATGTAACACCCAAGATTAATTCCGCTGCAATTGTATGAACAATATGATTAGACAAAACATATAGGGTAGGGTGTTACAAGACCAGGCCAAATCAGGAGGCATACCCGCTATAATCACTCGAATGTGATCTTTCCCAGCCACTCGCCAAATCCCTCGGGCTACCCTGCAATCAAATAAACAGTGAGAGATAGATTCAACATCTGATGAGCAAACATGACACAGATTCGAATCACTTAGAGTCTTGACGTGGATAATTTCCAAACAAGGCAAAAATCTTTTTACAACTCTCCACAAAAAGAACCTCAACTTAGGAGGAACAAGCAAACTCCAAAGCATTTTCTAGAAGCGATAATCCAGATGCGAGGGAAGGGAAGGGTATTTAATATCTCTGATCGCTCATCTGAGAGGAGATGGCATCCCGTCTTCACTGTATACTGACATGTATCAGAGTAATGCCAGATATACCTATCATGGCGAGGCGTTGATGGGATAGGAATAGAAAAAATCCACTTAATACGGTTAGTGGTAAAGTAGGATCGGAGGAGATCCAAATTTCAAGAGCGAGTCAACGGATGAATCAGCGATGCCACAAACTGATTGCCAAGCTGAACTCCAGGTAGAATAAATGGGGAAGAGGGAGGGGGAGTTAGGTAACCATGGGTCATCAAGAATTCGTATGGTTGTACCACACCCCACTTGCCATCTAAGTCCTTTTTGTAGCAGTTTACGGCCTCCTAGGACACCTTGCCACGCCCATGACGGTCGAGTTCCCATCGGAGCATGGAGAAAATCACATTGAGGATGATAGCGGGCCTTGTACATCCGAGTTAGAGTTGAATTGGGAGCATAAGGATTGCCAAGCCTGTTTGGCTAGCATTGCTACGCTGAAAATATCAAAGTCCCGAAATCCCAGGCCACCACGGAATTTGTAACACCTTAGGCAAATCCCACATCCACAAAGTACGGGAGAGATCCATGGTTCATAAGTAGGAAACCGACCTTAACTGACAAGACACATTTTGGGGTGAAATGGAGGAGTTCTTATGAGAACTCCGAAGTTAAACGAGCTCAGGGTGGAGCACTGCAAGGATGGGTGACCTTATGGGAAGTCACCTTGAATTACACCCAAAGTTGAAAACCGTGTGGGTGTAGAGGCCCAAAGCGGACAGTATCTTGTCGGGAAAAGGTTTGGGATGTTACAGAATTACTCAGACATTGTTGGCCAGGAGATCCAATGTATCCCTTTCTCCTTGTCTTGACTCGCCCACCAGAATCGTGTGAGATGTCCATTCATACGATGATAGGAAGTGGCAGGTAAGCGAAATGACAACATCGCATATACCAGAGTCGCAGAGCTTACAGCTTTGATCACCACCTCTTTTGCTGCCAACAAGAGCTACTTGGATTTCCAATTCTGAATGTGCTTAGCTAGTGCGTCTTCTATAAATCGGAAGGTCTGAACTTTGGACCTTTGAATATGAGTAGGTAAACCAAAGTACTTGTCCAATTCACCAATGGACTCCACTCCCAAGACTGCCGCTAATTCCGATGCTTCCTGAGCTATAACATTAGAGCTGAAGCAGACTTTTGCTTTCTGCAGATTAAGTTTTTTCCCACTAGCTGACTCGTACATGTTAAGTAATTGTATAGGTTGGGAGCATTCCATGGAAGAAGCTCTAAAAAAAAAAATAAGTATTGTCATCAAACAACAGATGTGAAGTAGTTGGAGCAAATCGATGAATTTTTAGGCCATGTAGTTGATGAGATGTAAGAGCATTAGAAATCAGTGTGCAAAATGCTTCTGTAT